CCATCGTCCTGATCTGTTTCTCTGCAGCAAAAAAAGGAAGGGAGATTGTTGGGTAGAGGGTCTCATGGGGGCGAAGCCACGGTTGGGGTGAAGTTCCAGTCCTGCAAACTTTTGTGAGTCGCTCCTAGAGGGGCCGTCCACTGCTCCTCATATAAAGTGCTTCGTGATTTAGTTTCTTTCTTATTCTAACAGGCCCTCACTTTATATGCAGCAGCGGGAAGGAGTAGGCCGTATGGAGACGAGTGCTTGCGTCGTATTTAGGAATGGAATCATTAGTTCAAGAGATACGTCCGGAACTTCACTTCCAAGACAGCCTCGATGTACGAAGCTGAGTTCCTGCCTTTACAAGCTTTGGCCCTAAAACATTCAAAAACCTCTAAATCACTGGCAGGGTTGGACTCGTGAGCCGTGCAAGTAGAGTCTATCGTATGTAAGGAATATTTCTGGATTGAGGCGAATTGGGGTAAGTCTAAGAGACTAGATGTCTCACTTCTGTTGTTTCCACACCATTCAAGCTGAGCGAACAGATCATAAAGCTCACCAGTGTTCCCAGAAAAATGTACAAGTACATTCCAGACGATATTGAGAAGATAAACTCGTCGTAATCTTCGTCGACATTATCGAGCAGTACACCGAAGATGAAACCGAGGTAGCTGAGAAAGATGGGGATCAGATTGAACAGCATTGCTCGTCGATAGCCCAGTCCAGAGTTGATGAGAATGGCAAGCGTACCTAAAAGTAACTCACAAATTACTCTCACACGTGCTACATGATATCGAAGAAAACGGGACTCAAGTCCCACCCTTTTTAATGTTTGTTCATACAGCTACTCATGTATTAAGTCCAGTCTAGTTCATCATCTTGAAGAGCTTCGCCAGCTTCACTTGTGAACATTATTATTATTTTTCTTTCAACCAAATTTCTTTTTGAACTCAGACACCTTGATAGCAGCCTCCAGGCGGCAAGAAACAGCATTAACGAGACCTTTGATCGAACCCTGTCGAAAAACTATGTAATGGGCTTGAGACGTTTGATTCCTGTAAGAGGATGGTACAGCTGGGAATATTGCCCAGGATTGGTTAGCCAAGTTTGAAAATAGCAGTTTGGGCCTGCACGACACGCCGTGTCGCTATAGTCCATGATTTGGCTCGGCCTTACAAGTCAAGTTAAACGTCAAGCCAGGCACGTCGGTTCAATTTATTCTGAAGACATGAATCAAAGGCACGTTCCGCGATAAACTAAGGCTAGAACCTCATAAACGTGCATGATGATCAAGCAGGCAACAGTAGAGGATATGCTGCTTTAAAAGTTGAAAAACAGCAAGCAGAACGCACGGCGCTCATGTTTTAGGCCCATTGGCGCCCGATAGGCCCATGCCGGCCTCCAGTGACCGTGTTGTGACATTGCCATTGCGCTCTCTTACATGATCGGATATTGAAATAAAGAGGGTCTTATTGCGGGCGCTTTTTCGTGGTTCCTTCCCTTCAATAAGTCAACAACCACAGGGCAATTCTATTTTTGAACTGTATTACCTATGAAGTCGCTAGGTCGCTGCGGCCCTTAAGGCCAATCGTTCGGGTATCATATGTTCAGAGCACTCAGCTACCGGCCATTCCGTACGAAAAAAAGTTCATACTTTTATAGGTAAGCTCAGAGGGCAATGTATATTTATCATTGCCCTTGCCCCTCCCCTCCCTGTGATTGTATTCTTGATCTAATGTGATGTACCTAGCTCTTGTGGAAACTGCTGTGATACGACTGCGACTCCAATACTGAGACCACGAAGAAGGCTGTCCGAGAAGGCAGCACCTGGAATGTTTCTGCAGATTAGAAATTACCCCTGAGAATCTCTTTCGCAATGTATAATCTATATAAATGCTATTTGCAAGAGCTTTAGGATGATCTTATGTTTTGAGAACAAGCAAATCTTGAAGCATGAATTCCCATCAAAAGAAAACATTCAGGAGAAATTCTTGGAAGTGTTCAGATGGGTTCTCGCTAACAAACAAACCTACCTGCTGGATGTTCCACATCCAGCAGGTAGGTTTATTTCTTTGGTAAAAGCTTGGAAATGCTTCCCTGCACTTCAACTAAGAGCGACTTAACTCGTCTTATTCAAATATGCGAAAAATTTCGAAAAATACAGGTGCTGAACCAAAAAACATCTTACCCATGCTCATTCCGTCGACGAAATTGTTGGCGCTCGAGCCAAAGATGATCATGTAGGCAACGCTGGCAACTTCTATCTTTGACGGATCTATGACGTGCTTCTCCAGAATTTTCACCGACACTGACACTTCTTCATCGCTCTTCTGCATAAAGAAAAGCGACTTAATTGTCAATGGCCCTGAGTTATGAACACATGTGAATATTCGGTATTGAGTGAGATCTTGGCTTCAGAGTACATAATGATCTAGTCCTTGAGTACATATAACCTTAAAAGCACCATCTGAGATGACTGGATGGGCGAGAAAATGGGTGGACACTGGCGACCTTCCTCAGTGGTGCAAAGCAGCGAGAACCGAGCCAATGAGGAAAGCGTAATGGTTATGCTCGTTGCTCCCCAACCAATTATCGCAGAATGTGCCTATAGTAAACCCGAGCGCGAAAATATTGAGTCTCACCTTGCTATTGCTACTGGGTAGCGGTATTGGCGGATCAACGCTTGACGGCCGTCGGGAGCCAGAAATTGCCTGAAGGTCTGAAGGTCAAAAACCGTGAGGCTCAAGAATATCGAGAAAATGGATGCACTTCATTTCTCGGTGATGAAGAGAAGATACATCGAAATAAATCTCACCCGGGAGATGTCGTCTTGCACGACGTCGAGGAAGTGGTCCTGATTCTGAAAGTAACAATGTGAAAGGTTCATTCGAAAAAAGGTAGGTATCAACGGGGATTGAGTGATTTCATCTCATGATGAGTCAATAGACGGTCGGTGTGTGTCGGAAATTGGCTGTGGGCACCGTTTCAGTGACGTCTCACCCCCCTCTACGATAAATGGGGTATGATCTCATCTGACGGATAACAAGTCATGGCAAGAGGCACTGAATTACACAAAAAGTTCTTACCCGAGATAGATCCTTGTTGACAGTTTCCACGAAGCTATCCCGCGCCTGAAACAAACTGGAACTATTGCTCATTTCTTTTCTCTAGTGCTCAAAAAATATCAAGCTAAGGTCAAAATTCTCCAAGATCTTAGTCGCTGTAATGCAGAAATCTGATGATACCATTTCTTTTGAGATTGCAATGAATTTTCATGAAGGCGACTTGCTAGGGTTCAGTGGCAGCATCAAGGACTTCAAAGACGCTCTGGAAATCGGGTTGATTCCATTCTTTACGTAGAGCATGATTCGAAGCCGGCTAAAGACGTATACTCATATTCTGTGACAAAAGGGCCTGGAAAGGGTATCTGGGACTCTGCCATACGATGTTTTACCCTGGCTGGGGGTTCTGTGGGGGCGGGCGTCGTGTCCGGTCTTGATGGATTGTCCCGAGCACACCATTGTAAAATCACTCATTGTGATAGTCGATTTCGGGACCTGACTGGTGATATTCTTCCCCCCCCCCTCTACCCGCCTCCACGCTCACAACTCAATCTCTGGACACTTCATCTCCAAGCTTCGACTTCGCGCTAATAGGCGTGAAACGTTTATCATTAACCAGTCGGATCGCCCGGCTGACGCCGAGCCTGCTCCTTCTCTTTAGCTCGGCTTAGCTTGGCCAGGCGCGCTCCAATAATTTCACGGATTTTTCAAGTGCGCTGTGGTGATCAAATCGTAACAGATAGAGCAAGGCTTAAAATCTTGCACTACTTAGCACACGCTCCTACTTGCAGCAGGGGTGTGGTCCGCGCCATAACGCCCATACAATACATAAATCTGTAGAATAGATACAATGTGTAGTCGGCCAATACAGCGCAATGTGAATCGCTCAGTAAAAGAACAGATTTCGTTTCCATCACCTGCACCGAAATGCCTACCGATGAACGTTTCCCTTTTCAATTAGCATGCAATCCGCTCGCTGAAGTATAATTATTAGTAGGTACTATACTCCCTTGTTATTCGTTCTCATCAGTAATTGAAAGTTCAAAGGTTGAGAGGATAGTGCGATGAGTTTGGGATCAGTTCATTTTCTAGTGCTATCGGAGAAGTGATGGCTAAAGGAAAAGTTTGCACACTGAGCCTTCAATACTTGGCAGTATAGTGATAAGAGATGTAATGAGAATGGCCCTTATCCTTTCTTATCAATTGATAAGATTGCCTGTCACCCGTCATCAATGTCCCTATCACTAAAACTCTATAATTTGGTAGTGTAAAGGCTCCAGCAATTTGACTGAACAACAGTGGCAACGTTCCTTATCACCTCCGGTCACCTGCCGTCGATGTCCCCATCTCCCACTCTATATCATTTTCTGAAATCAACGCCTAGCTGATGCTGTGTCCCGCGTTATGAGTATGGTGACCTTCCCATTCTAACTCCCCTTATCAAATCTTATCAGCTGCTAGCAGTTCTTGTCACCCACCAATAATATTCCTGTCCCACGTCCTATATCATACCTTGGAACCAACGTCCCACTGTTGCTGTGTCCCGCACTATGGACTCGGTGACCCTCCCCTTCTGACGCCCTCTTATCGGATCTTATCAGCTGATATCACTCCCTGTCACCCATCAATAATGTTCCTGTCCCACGTCCTATATCATACCTTGGAACCAATGTCCCACTGTTACTGTGTCCCGCACTATGGGCTCGGTCACCCTCCCCTTCTAAGGCCCCTTATCGAATCTTATCAGGTGT